GTGCAGTGAGGGCCCCAAAACTGACCCCAGGATTCGAGGTGCAGCCTCACCAGTGCGCAGCACAGGGGGACGATCTGCCCTGATCCTGCTCACCACACTGTCCCTGATGCAGGCCAGGATGCCACTGGCCGCCTTGGCCAACTGAGCACATGCCAACTCATAATCAGCTGCTGTCGATCAACACCCCCAGCTTTTCTTCTGCCGGACAGCTTTCCAGCCATTCGTCCCCAAGCCTGGAGCGTTGCAGGGGGTGGTTGTGACCAAAGTGCAGGACTTGGCCCTTGGCCTTACTGACCTCACACAGTTGGCCTGGGCCCATAAATCCTGCCTGTCCAGATCCCTCTGTAGAACCTTCCTACCCTCAGGCAGGTCAACACTCCTGCCAAACTTGGTGTTATCTGCAAACTTCCTGAGAACGCCCTCGATCCCCTCATCCAGATTTTGAAGAGAACTGGCCCCACAACCAGTACCTGGGGAACGCCCCTTGTGACTGTCCGCCAACTGGATTTAACTCCATTCACCACCACTCCTTGGGCCTGGCCATCCAGCCAGTTTTTACCCAGCAGAGTACACCCATCCAAACCATAAGCAGCCAGTTTCTCCAGGAAAATGCTGTGGGAAGTGGTGTCCAAGGCTTTGTTAAAGTCCAGGTAGCCAACATCCACAGCCTTTCCCCCATCCACCAAGCAGGTCACCTTGTCACAGAAGGAGATGAGATCAGTCAAGCAGGACCTGCCTTTCATCAGACCCACGCTGACAGGGCCTAATAGCCTGGTTGTCCTGTAAGTGCTGCGTGCTGGCACTGGAGATGGTCTGCTCCATGGCCTTTCCTGGCACCGAGATCAGGCTGACAGGCCAGTAGTTCCCTGGGTCCTCTTTCCTGCCTTTTTTGTAGAAGGGTGTCTCCAGTCAACTGGGACTTTCCTGGTTGGCCTGGACTGCTGGTAGATGATGGAGAGTGGCTTGGGGAGCACTTCCGCCATCTCCCTCAGCACCCTTGGGTGATCCCATCAGGCCTCACAGGCTGGTGTGTGTAAGTGATGCAGCAGGTTGCTAACCATTTCCTCTTGGATCATGAGGAACTTCATTTTGCTCCTGTCCCTGTCTTCCAGCTCAGGGAGCTGGGCACCCCAAGAATAACTGGTTTTACCATTAAAGATTGAGGCAAAGAAGGCATTAAGTACCTCAGCCTCTTCCTCATCCTTTGTCACTCTGTTTCCCTCTGCATCCAGTAAAAGATGGAGATTCTCCTTAGCGTGTCTTTTGTTGCTGATGTATTTATAGAAATGTTTTTATTGTCTCTCTGGCAGTAGCCAGATTAAGTGTTAGCTGGGGTTTGGCCCTTCTAGTTTTCTCCCTGCAGAACCTCACAATGTTGTTGTAGTCCTCCTGAGTTGCCTGCCCCTTCTTCCAAAGGACATAATGTGACGCTTGAATCCTATGAGCACTAGTGAGGATTCTAGTGACCAGTACCTAAATTCTGGGGGAGTGAGAGTTTTGTAAGAAAGCCTTTGAACTTCACATCATCTCTGAAAAATGTGTTGTTGCTGTTTCTCATCCTCACTGTGCTGCTGTGGGGTCTGCAAGTGTTCTTGTGAAGAATGAGATAGCAAGAGCCATCTAATACCCACTCTGTGATGCACCCACAAGTTCAATCCCAATGTAAATAGCCAGAGGGAGTTTATTGTATGGCATTGTTTGTGTAATGTTTGCATAACGTGTTTTTATTAATAAATGTAAAGGTAGGATAAATGCGTAAGAACCTAAATGTCAGGATCTTTAAGCAAGAAGGGAACCTGAGAACTGAAAAAGTCTGCTGACGTCAGCACATAAAGGACGTACGGTGAAAACTGTTGCAAAATAAAACCAGAGAGCACATTGTCGATTCAGCTAAACCTAGCGATAAAACTGGTTTCAGAACTAGTCTGATGAAGTGCAATTTGATCAGATATTTCATGAACGGATTACTTTATTACTGATACCGCTAATGATTTGTAAATTAACTGCAACTCATTCTCCCTGTGTGACTGACTCAGTGGCATTTACCCACTTTTCACGTACCCTTTTTTTTTGGGGGGGGGCTGAATTTGCAAAACGCTTCCCTCTAGTCCTTTGAGTTAAATTTTCAGCGACATTTGATGACTAGCGTAGCATGATTAATTACAAATTGTTCTTTAGGTGAATAGTGCATATTCTAAAACACAGCTTGTGTTTTTATAGCAGTTATTACCCTGCAGGCTCCAAAAGGGCTTTGGAATACAGAGTATGATTTCGGTTACATCCTTGTAAATTCAGAAAACGTCAGTGATCTCAAAAGTGTGATTTTTGAAATTAGGTCAGTGGAAAAGAGATTAGAATCTGCTTTGCTACCTGAAAAGAAACAAGCTCCAAAATGAAGTCTTTGCTTCTGGAAGGCCATGGTTTATCTTTCGAAAGGAACGTATTTGTCCAGAAAAATAATTCATTTGAAACAATATGGGGGACTGAATAATAGAGTAAATTATAACCTGAATCCAGGGTGGATTATGGCAAGAAAGTCAGAGCAGGGAATACTCTTTCTCTTGCAGAGAGATCTGTAATGACCCAGATCTACATCGCAGTTTCAGCTTGCACCATGATGAGCCAGTGACTCAAAGCTCTCTGGAGGTTTCTTGTATTTTGTCTCCCAGTTAAATTTATTCAGTGTTTGGAGTTTTGGTGCTGGCTAGTTGATCCTTTGATAACTACAGTGCACTTATAAGGTATTTTCTTGGTTTGTTTTTCACCCTCTGATTACAGAATACATAATTTTTTAACCTGAATTTAATTAAATGTCAAGGTTGAGATAATGATTGAGATTTTCTGGAGAGTATATAGTTCTCTGAATTCTCACTTCTTGTCACCAGAACCTTTGAGAAGATAAGGATTACAGTGTGAAACCACTAGAAAATTACAGGTCAGGAAATGGATTATGGTCTTGCAATATATGGCATCCAACATGAAGCCTGAGCAAATAAGCTTAAGGGAGATTCCTCCCTTGTTAGGGTACGTTGAGAAGGAAACCATTGAGGGGCAGTCATGGATGGTGAATACCTTTCAGGGGTTTGTTTTCAACATTTTTATGTGATGGTTGTGCTCAAAGCATCTGAAAAGCAGCTTTTCAGTACCCCAAGTCTATGACTCATGAAAGAGATGAGCAATAGTCACAGGGTTTTTGCCTTTCCCTGTACTTTGGGCAGCACGTTTTGCATCCTGTTTGTGAGCAGCTCTGTGGCTTCTCATCTGAGAGCTTCCTTAAGTCTGCAGTGCTGTTCTCTTCCAGCCAGTTTTGGGCTATTCAAAAAAAGAAAAACCAAAAAACCCAGCATAAACATGGTTTTCATCTCCTCTAGTGTCGAAGCGTGTTGTTGGGATGGTGATCCCAGCTCCCAGTGGTGCAGGAGAGAGTCCTGTGGGATGCTCAGACTGCATCTCTCCAGGCTGCTCTCTGGCTTCAAGTCACTTGCCCAAATTACTGTTGTTAACAACTACTGGAGCTGAAGTGTGTTTTAATTGTTTAGTTTTATCTACCACCGGGAAAAGGGGGAAACCTATGTAAAAATGAATAAACGACTTCCTTCCCTATGGAAGAGTGATGTATTAAAGAGTGTGTAAAACAAAGCTGCTTTTAAATATCTGATTGGAAACAAAACAGTAAATTCAAAACACAGTATTTTTTAAGTCCTGCGCATTCTGATTAATTTAAAAATTATGAATGGTATCTTTTAATGATTGAAACTAATAGGTGTGATCATTTTGTCATCAGAGTTGTTAAGTAGCCTTTTCTGAAGTAAACTCATTAATACAATACAAAGGATTAATTTAATGGAAAAAATGAGGACACTGTAAGACCTTCCGATGTTTTTGTTTTTTCCAATACCCTTTTCGTAAATATAATAACCTAAGGTGTATTTCTACAATAAAACACTTCTCTATTTTCATTTTCAGAATCTAGACAGATTTGAAGTCCTTGGAAAATGAGTGTTCTTCTCATTGAAGCGTTTTATGGTGGCTCCCACAAACAGCTGATGGATCTTCTCCAAGAAGAGCTACAAGACGACTGTGTCCTCTGTACGCTGCCTGCCAAGAAGTGGCATTGGAAAGCACGGACTGCTGCACTTTATTTCATGCAAACAGTGCCAACAAGTACTAATTACAGGTAACCCAGGAGCTGAATAATGTCACAGCTCAAATTACAGAGAGGCCTTGAACAAGGTCTCTCGAGCTGGTTCTGCAGTTATCTGCATGCAGGCATATATGCAGAAGCAAATGGAGACTTGCAATGGACAGTACAAATTTTTCTTCTTGCATTGACTTATTTGGGTATAAATGTGGGAAATTGCCACCATGTTTTAGAATTCTGTAGACTGCTATGTCTGGTGTTGCTAGTCCTTGGAAGTCTCACAGAGTGCGAGCATGTGGATACCTGTTTGTGTATATATGTATGCGTACGCCCTGTTTTAAAGCTATCTAGTGAATTCAGTAATGCTGAAAGTTTTAAACCAAGCTTCACAGATTAGGTTGAAAGATGGCATAGATGTGAACGCTGCAAGCTTCCGCACTTGCCCTCCGATGTATCTATTAGCAAGTCTGATTTATCAGAGTGTACTACTCAGGCTGACCTGGAGGATTAAGGGAGCAGTTTTATCTTAATGACACTCTGGGCCTGTAATGTGCCAGGAACTGTGGATGTCAATTATGCATTTATGTAAGTGGCAAATTTCTATCAGCTAGAACCTGGACTGATAAAAGCAGACTATTTAGGTCAACAGATAGCTATCATGTAGTGAGAATCGGTCACTCCAGAACCAAGCTGTCTTTAAACCTAGCAATTTTGCTTGGCCTACCTGATCAGTTGAGATGCGGTGAGATGATTGTATCGAGCAGCGACATACCGCGTGGTGCGGCGCATGCTCCGGTCAGGGCGCACAGCAGAGCATCGCAGCGTGGGTAGTAAATGAGCACACGCTTGACTCTGCGCCTGCGTGGGGAGAGACCGTTGGTGCACGGGGATGTTTTAGCACAAGCTGCTGCTTTTCAGCACTGCCGCAGGACTCTGAGCACACCTAAACAGTGTGCTAGCTAGTTAGAGCTCAGAACTGGGTCTGGTATTTGTTACCAGGAGCAAGTAGATGTAGTTGGCTGGGGAAGGAATGTGATTTTTCGAGAGTAGGACTTGTGCTGTAGAAGGCTGCATTTGAATAGTGTTACCCAACACGATGTCTAATCCTTTTTGGAATGCATGCTATATAAATGTACACCTTTTCTGTGCCTGCTTCTGGCTTGCATTTAAAATAAGCTACCAGCCCAAGCCAAATGTTATAATTAATTTTCCCCGGTTTGTCTTGTGCGAGGCATTTAGCGTTTGTTTCCTATTGCTTTCCTTTTGCAACAGTTTTGTTTTGGAGGAGTGTATATGACAAACTGTTATGTAAATTTGTCTTGTATCGCAACCACATCCTCCAACGCATCGCAATGTTATCTGTGTTCCTTCAAGGTCAGCAGCCCAAGCTGTCCAGCACTAACTGTATTAAACTAATCAGACATCACTCATAGACATACACTTCATTAGTTTAACTTACAGTTACATTGACCTAAGATAACTTAACTCCAATTTGTCAAGTAACCCACATCTTGGGGGAAGGGGGAGGGAATGATGCCAAAAAAAACCCCAAAACCCCACAAAAAAAAATCACCCTACAAAAAAAACTCAACCCAGCAGCTTGAAAACTCACTTGAAGTTAATAAACTTGCAATCTGTCATAGACTTATGTGCAAATATAACCTTTACTGACAGCAAATAAATCTGATCTAACCAATAGAGCATCTTACGGGGAGGAAAGCTTTTTCTTGGCTGTTGAGAGTTTGATCAGACAGAATCACATAGTCAAAGTTCACAAAGATGCGATGTTTAAAAAAGGGTTTGTACCTTATCCTCGCAGGCAGGATAAAATTTTAGGAACAAGGGCTGATGTGACTGGTGAGAGGAAAACTGATTAGAGGTACCTTCTACTTTACTTGCGCATTTCTAATGTTTGTTTTGTAATTGAATGTTTCAAGTATTTTATACTTTCAATTTAATAAGCGCATCAGGCTACAACCGAATGAGACTGACTGCTGTCGCCTATTAGAAAACAACATTGATTAAAATTAACCTTGTTTCTTTATTCTCTTATTTCTAGCTTGCTAGTAACCACTAAAGATCTGCTTCCCAGGTATTTAAGGGAAAATTCTCATTGCAAACTGGCAGGAGTGTGTGTTTTGAATTACACATTTAAATATTTCAATCTTTTTGTGAGGTGGAGGGAAATACCAAATTTTCGTTATTTATAATATTGACATCATTTGTAGAATAAAAATTTTCTTTTACAAGTGATTTTCATAAATGTGAGCTTTCATAAATACCTTGTTTCTATTTGTGCATTTAATAATACGGAAAGGTCACAAGTATTTCGACAGCAAACATCTTTGTTATCGGAGCTGCATTCTTAGTAAACTTTCATTTTCAAACTGTACTTTATTTGAAGATGATGGTATGTATGAGAAATAATGCTTATGCTAATGAGTGTTGCTGTACATCTATGCAGCGGCAGTATACATGCGTTTTAAGAAGATATTTAATACATACAAGCTGATTATAGGAAGGAAGCAGGTTGTTTAGATTTCAAGTGATGTGTAGTGAGTTAAAGAACCGTGTTAAAAAGTGCTTTTGAAGCAGAGTGTAAAGTGCAGAATTATAGATGTTAAATTCAGATGTTCTGTAGTGGCCAGAGTTTATGTGATGAACTTGCAAATGCTTTATTGGAGAGCAGGTACTCCCCTGAGGAACACTTAAAACTGAACTGATAACGAGCAGTGTGTCTAACGTTATTTCTGTGAATCGTGCAGCCGATGTCTCGGTGTGCAAAATGATGTTCCTTGCAAAAATTAGATTTACCCAGAATTTTCACACGGAGAAGATGTCCTCACCCTTCAAGGGGAACGAACACACGTCGCTGTTATGGAAGGTATTAGCGAGTTCGTATGTTGTCTGCAATGCTGCATAAGTTTATATTATTTCCCCTATGCAAAGGGTGTTCTGTGTTTCTCTAGAAAGACGTTCTTTTCTCATGGCTTCATTGTGCAGTGTGTCGTTAAACCAGCTCACGTCTTCATTCATCTCCTCGCAGGAGGACAGAAGCCCTGATGAATGGGGATGATCAGGCACGCTGCGAGTCCCTCCAACTTGGAAGGCCATAAGGGGAGTTTTTAAAGGCGGCATACTTGGCTAGTAAACTTGAAATGGTCTAATATATTGATGTACAGCCGTTTTAAGAGCTTTCTTAATTGCTATGTAGAGACTCACATGATTTTTCCTTAATTGGAAAGAAGCTGTCTGTTTGGACAGCGCATTAGTACACGGAGTTCCATCCTTGTGGTGACAATCTCCAAATTACGGCATTTGAAACGTACTGGAAAAGGGCAGAATGACTGTCTGCTTTCTCTAGACAAGTGTCTCAACAGTTGAAGAGTGTGGTTAGCAGTTGATGGAATATTACCATCTTCATTCAGTAAGTTAGGAAGGTCCAGCAGAGACGTGACCTCCTCACGGCAGTCTGCAGAACTGCTGCCTTGTCTGCTTTGTCTCCCAACTTCCTTCAGACAGCTGAAACTCTTCGATAAACGTAGATGTCTGATCTTGTCTAAAGTTGTTTTCCATAGCTCGTATAGCGACTATTCAGTAGTCCTAGAAAGCAGGTAACAAAAAAGAATTCTTTGAACCTTTTTTTCTTAGTCAAGTTCTCAAATTAAAAAAAATACTGTTGCAGAATTTAATGAAAAAAGGTTGCTTTTCTATTTTTCTCTTAATTCTATTATTTGTTACCATGAGCAATCTTTTACATTTCAAATAATAAAACTGTGATATGACACACTAGGCATAAACCAATTTATATTTTAGGGACTGTTCTTTATACAAAGTAATTCAAAGGCAAAAAAGTTAGTAGTATAAGAGTTAGATCTGCAGAACAGAGAGAGTAAACGCAGTGTATCTTCCAGTTCATTTTAATAGCAGTGCTAGATTATTTAAAAAAAAAAAATATATAAATATTATGTGTAACGTTCAGTACTGCCCCCCAGGTAGCTGTTCATATGAATAAAGATTTTATTTGTAACAGACTCTAGCCCTGAAATACCCCTAGGGTAAATGTTAGCATATATATACCCCTTGATATTTGACAACTATATTTTAAAGACAAACTATGCTTTTTACATTTTACAAAAGAGAGAACAAATCATTGTTTTCAATTAAGAGAGCTCTGGAAAAAAAACCCTACCAAAACCCAAACCTGGGGGGTGTGGTGTTCAGCAATGTGTAGTGTATTCCAAGGGTATACAGTGTAGATGTGTTGTGGTTTTTTTTAAATAACCTCTTAAAGACGAGTAGATTTAGGATTGTTTCAGAGTTGATACTTTCATTCTTGTCTATAAGGAGAAGGTGCTTTATTATAGATTGAATTCTTTATTAACTGACTGGCGTTGCCTAAATATCGTCTGAAACACAGCAGTCCTGTAGATTTTTATTCCAGTGAGTACAGTGAGCGGTCCCACTGAAAGCGTAACGCAGCTTGCATGTGTGAGCATTCCAAAGCTAGAGTGCATACTGTTTTCTAGACATTTTCCTTTCAAAACACCACCTGCAAATAATGTGTCCTGGGGAAGATGGTTGAAGATGTGAACTGAAGCAAGGCAGGGCAAATTTCAGCCATTTCATTAAAGCTGAATACATAGTTGTCCATTTGTGCTGGGAATATTTCTGTCTTTTTAAGTCTTTTTTGCCAAATACTGGAAGTGCATCTTTATATAACCTTTGTAGGAAGCAGAATAATTTTCCCTGTGTTAGAGGCCTTCCCAGAATTTGGCCCTAATAACACTCAGGTAAGAAATAAAGAAATAGTATGTGTGAGTAGTATATTAGTTAAATTAAAGATAACCATGAACCTGCAGATATTAAAAAAAAAAAAAATATTACCTGGTACTGAGGGGCTTTTATTGGCATATTTTATGGTGTTTGCTTCTGTAGATAGGTGAATAAAACTTGAGCCTCATTTATGGTATCGACTACTAAGAGTATATTTTGGTCTTACTGCTCAACTTCCTTGCATTTGAAGATGGGATGTG